AGAGGGTTTGGGAGATCTGTAGAGTGCTCCTGGGGTCTGGGGAGGGCAAAAATGTGACATGGGGGGGGGTTGGGAGAGAAAAACAGGCCCAGTTTTTGAAAAAATGAGGTGTGCAGAGGGTTTGGGATGCCTATAGAATGCTCCTAGGGGCTGGGGAGGAAAAAAAACTCATTTTCGTGAAAATGGGCCCATTTTCACTCATTTTTGCCCTCCCCAGACCCCAGGAGCACTCTACAGATCTCCCAAACCCTCTGCACACCTTGTTGTTGTTTTTTTTGCAAAAAATGGACCCGTTTTTCACTCGTTTTTGCCCTCCCCAGCCCACACTTTGCAGCCACCCAAACACACTGCACATCCATTTTTGCAAAAAATGGGGTACACGAGGCAGGGTTTTGGAAGGCCAAAAATTGCTGTATTCAGTGTATAAGACACACCCAGTTTTTCACCCTCTTTTTGGAAGGAAAAAGGTGCGTCTTCTACTCCGAAAAATATGGTACATGTCTTTATTAAAATTGTTATGTCATTTGAGTTAAGCTCCAACTTCTGACACCTATCAAGGCAGTTTTTGTGAAAGTAGGACAGAAAGAGTATTCAGTTCCTCCTTCCCCATTTCTGAGTCTTGCTTACATCACTAGGCTCTTCTGGGGTCCAAGCTCCAACAAATTCCAATCCTGATTAGCTAACATTATCTAGGCCTGCTTCCTAACTGTGCGTTAGATGAAGTTCAAATTAATTTTAATCTAGTAGCCTACTGTGTGTTCTCTAAGCAGGCTAAGACTACTTGTAGTCAATTACAGAATGGCTGCCTTTATGATGTTAGTTGAATAGTTCCATTAGAGTATTATTTACAGTCACAGCCAACAACTTATCTAAGATTTCAGAGCGGTGAGTCTTTTCAGATCTAAGTGAAGATGCCATTGACTGAACATGAATGCTAAAGCTGGAAATCAGGACCTATGCACTGTGATTTGCCTGTAATTAACTGTAATGTTTCTGTGGAACTTTTGGCAACGTACAGAGAGAGGTTTTAGCAGCTTCATCTTATATAGCAAGGAAAGGGTCTCTTGAAGCTTTTAGCTTCCAATTTAGCTTCCTCTTAAAAGAGAGACAGCATTGCAGAAAAACTAGAGTGCTCCCACTTAAAATGGCCACTTTCTGAACTTTTTTTTTAAAATTCCCATTGGATTAAATTATAAAATCCAATTGCAGATTAATGAATGAGGATCAGGAACTGTTTCATGTGGAGGAATTATATAGAGAGAGACCTCACAAATAATGGTATTAAAAATATGAGTGGATTATGATTATAGATTCTCAGGGCAGGTAAGTTTTATATTTTATATTTATAAAATATGTACATTTGCTGAACGTTTCAACAAAATTCACTATCTTGCCTGAATTTTGTAATGTGTGAAGTGGCACTCATTCATATAGCCTAACCTAATTTAGCATGTTTTATTGACTAAGCCAAAACCAAGCCAAAGTCAGTCATATAGATATATATTTTTTGCATGGTTTTTTTTCTTTCTAGCCAAATTTCAGTTTTTCTTCCTTTTTAACTTCCCCATTTTGAACTTCTGTTGATTTATAGATAGGAAAAGGTTGGAAACAAATCAGGGATAAAATTATGTGCAGGGATAAAGTTATTACGTAATTATAGCCACTCATTATATGAAGCCACAATTGCATATAATAGCAATTACGTGTAATAAGTGAAGTAAACAATAATATTTATGATGAGGAAAGAACTGTACAGTTCTTTTTCTTTTTACTTAAAGAAATGACTTGTCACAAAAATTTGCATGGAATTTTTAGTATTGATTCTTTATGATATATGAACAGTTTGTAAGGGGGGGAACACCATGTTTTTAGTTAATATTTATTGGCTACAAAAAAGAAGACAAATGGTTAAGTCTTGCCTGAATGGCTTGTCTGCTCAGTCGCTCAGCTCTATTTGTCTTTCCATATGCTGCCTTTTTTGTTGGCAAATCTACTTTTGGAATGATGATATCTGTGTGGCACCAATCCAAACTCCGTATGCATGATGGACCTCTAAATTAGTTAGTGCATTTTTTTTTAATAAAAAAAGGCAGAATCAGATTTTCTGGGTCAAGTTTCAAAGCTAACAGAACTAATTGTATTTGTTTACAGACTTAAAGCCAACTTGGAATGTTGTACGAGTTCCATATTCAGATTAAAAACAAACAATTAAACATATAAATAATATTGATAGAATGCATCGATAGGAAAAGAAAAAGAAGAAAGGAAAAGAATGGGAGTGGATCAAAAAATGAAAAGCCTACTCTTCACCAGAGTAAAGAGCAGTAGCATTCTGGTTTCTATGGCTGGTTGAAACAGTTACAATTTTACAGATTTTTCAAAAGCTTGCCAGGAATGGACCATTCTGATGTCTGGAAGCAAATATTTCAGAGGAGCAGATCCACATCTGAAAAAGAAGATTTCTGAGTTTCCTACACATAGAGTCTCCTTTACTTGAGGCTAGCCAGTATTATTAGGATACTGGGAGAAGGTAGTCCTGAAATTCTGATTTTAACAGCTACATTTTCTATTTCCATAAATGGAAAGCTTACAAACATTTCCTTTTTTCTTCTTCTTCTTCTCAGCAAGCTTTAAGAGAGCTGCTAATGGAACCTAGCACTGCTCTCTGACTGATAAAACTAAGTTGCATGGTTGGAGACTATTCATCATATACCACTGAATAATCAGACTCCTTCTGATTTATTTATTTATTGCTACCATAATCCAACACAGCTCTCCTTCTACAGTGTCTCCATTGAATAATGTAATGTGCTTTATTGATTGGACACTTTCCTCCCTTCCACCAACTATTTGACTAGATAAAAAACTCCTGACAGTCAAAGGGCTGCAGTGATTTATAAATACCGGTAATAAATGTATTGCTTTTGTGGATTTTGAATTGTTTTTCTCACGTACAACACGGCTGCTATTGTTTGCCATTTTTAATATTATTTGAATACATTTAAGAACAAAAGGGAAGGCTTGCTAGGTCAGCTCAAAGCCAACCCTCCCCAACCCAGTCCTGAGTTTGCATCATGTTGGAAAAGGAACGTAATCAGGTTGCCCAAGTGGAGATCTTGTTATGTCGAGAAACAACCATTCTAGAGCCACTTGTGAAGGAAGCATATCTTACCAGTTCTGTCTTTGCTTATTCATTAACATGCACATAGAAGCATGAGTTTTAAAAATGACAAGGAGTAAACAGCCAGAATGAATAATAAAGCAATTAGCAAAGCAACACTGACTCCTCTTAGA